AGTGCAGGAGAGCTAGTGGTGTCACCCCCCAGGATCCTAAAATTAAATATTATCTTTACAACATTAAAAAAACAAGACAGCTATATTTTGTGTAGCGGGTAATTAAAAAGACCAGTTTTTAAGTTGTTGACTGTGACGTAACACTGACCTTGAGCGAGGGGGAGCAGTACTTGGAATGTGTATATAAAATAATAACTAATTGTGAGTGTTGTGACGCCATCCAGACATCTTTTGGTGCACATACACACATACTGCATAAGCACACATACATTCATACAGGTACGTGGACCTTGGCTTGGCGCTCATACACTGTCACTCTGACTATTCCTCCCCTTCATGATACTCTGATTTATCAAATAATCTAAAATCCAAGCTACAGATTATGCAAAACAAGATGAAGCTCGTTCTTGACATGAAAATTAGACACCAGAAGTCCTACAGTCGCTGGATATGTTAAGTGTGGCGGATAGAATGAAGCAACTGAGCCTTAATCATATTTTCACGATTTTTAACAGACTGTGCCCAGAGTATCTAACTAACTTAGTAAGGATTAGGGATATGATCCGGCAGGGCACTAGAGGTCGTGAACACAATTTTGTAATACCTGGTGTCTGCAGTCAAGCTAAAAACACTTTCCTCTTTACAGCTATAACGGAATGGAACACGTTACCTGACTACATTAAAATCAGTAATGCTATCAAATAATTCAAAGCTAAAACTAAAAAAAAAAAAACGCGAATAATACATAACAGATGAAGCTACAGCAAGAGAAGAGAGTGAGTTTCTATATTCTAAACCACAGACTTTTGTGTTGTTGAAGGGATCCGTCAGCTTCCTATAGATATACTATATCTAATTAACCAAACTTAAGCAAATGATCCTCCTGGCTCTATCGGATATCCTTGGTCAAATTGCCTTACTGTTTACTTTTGTATAGTATTAGAGTTAACTAAAAATAAGTAAATAAAAATATGATTGATTGACAGAACTAGACTTAATGTTATGTTCTCTACACGACACAATTAGCATAATTATATGTCGCCATTTCCGACATAACCCCGAAAATCACATTTTTTTTTAAAGTAAATGTTCTCAAAGTTGAAAGAATCTTGCGCTTCCAGTTTGTAAAAGAGAAAAACCCTTGTATCCTATTTATAAGGATTAATTCTGTTTATCTAAAAACTAATATTTGACTAGGGCGACCCCTGGAAAGCTGGTGATGACGTCATGTTTTACGTCAGATCTCAAACTCGATACTGAATCCATTATTCAAATAACAGGCATATATTAGTGAATAATTCCTCTATGTAGTACTACAGACGGTGTTGTAAGGTGTTTGAATAATTCCAAGGCTACATGCAGGACTTTTGTAGACTTAAAAGGGGCCTTTGATAGGGAAAATAAAGAAGTCATACTTGAGGAACTAATTAATTTAGGGGTTTCTGGGAAATTGCTGAAATAGAAATAGAATATTACTTGAGTAACAGAAAGGCTAGAGTATGGTTTCAGGGTTGGTACTCAGAAGAAAGAGATGTAGTTGGGGACTCCACAGGGAGGTGTACTTAGCCCCACTCTTTTTAACGCATTGATGAACATAATGGCTCGGTACTAGTGTAAAGGTATGAGAAATATGGAAGATGCTTTAGGTGCATTGAGTACACTTTGTTGTATAATGGGCCTTGTAATTAACAATGAAAAAAACTAAATATCAGATCAGAAATTATGAACAAGGGGATTTATTTTTTAATGAATTAAGGCTAAAAAAAGTTGATGTTTACAAATACCTTGGGATGTACATTGGGTATAAGTCCAACAGTAAAGTACGTGAGATGCAATACCTGGAGAATGCATATCAAGGACGTTTAAGACCTTTAAGAGCTTTGGCATGGGAGGTAAATGGCACAGGTATTCCTATTTTAAGGATGGTTTATATCAGTACTATACGTTCAGTTATTGACTATGCAGCTCGCAGCCTTATAATGTATAGTAAGAAAGTTATTCAAAAGCTTGAAGTGATACACAACGAGGTCTTGAGAATTGTTTTAGGGTGTCAATGGAACACTAGAATTGAAATAATGAGAATGGAGTTAGATTTACCAAGTATAGAATATAGAGTAAAGGAACTTGCTGAAGCCGCAACTCCTAGGACCATTACGAGAGGAGGAGATAAAAGGTTGTCCCGTACGATAATGTGTCCAAGTATGCAAGGCTACTGTATAATAATATGATGGAGTATTGAGTAGATAAATACAGTATTGCATTTCATTACAAACTTATTTAATGTTTAGAGTTTAGATCATGGCAGGAAGGATGCATTACAGTAGATATTTTACAGCTTGAGGAGAAAAACGAAGATTGGCATCCCAGTTATTTACGAAATGTCGTTTTAGAGAAAATAAATAGTCTTCCCCAGGCGAAACACTGTACATATATATTGTGATGGATCAAGCGGGATGTGGTGCTTTTATGAGGGAATATCTTATCAATGAGTGTTATGCAGATGAAACAGTTTGTAAAAGAATTAGTAACAGCACCTCATCCACGCTGGCTGACCTATACGCAATTTGTGAAGGACTTCAAGTTGCGAAAGAGCAATGTAAAGAAACATATATTTTTGTTGATACTAAAAGTGCATTGGAAGCTTTGTAGAGTAAAAAATCATGTAACTTTCACATTGTTAATATCTGTAAACGACTGGTCACGGTAATGCAAGAAATGGAATGCGCTGTGCAGTTTGTATAGATTACATCACATGTGGGATTCATTTAATTGAAATGGCTGATATGTTGGCCAAAAAAGCTGCAGAAAGGATGTATATAGATATTGTTAGCAAAGTATTAGAACGATAAAGAGGGAAATGAAAAGAAAAAAGAGAGGAAAACAAAACAAAAAGAGAAGTGATTGCCATATGTAGCGAGAGTTGTCAGCACTATTTGTACGTTTTACAAAACACCAGTGTAACTTACGGGACAAACTTACCATCTGTTGATACTGTTATAATGAGACTAAGACTGGGATACAAATATTACTGGAGGGGCGGGTCAACTGTGTCATCTTAGGGATGCCCATACACTACAACATTATGTATCAAGATGTGAAAAAATCCAACCATACAGGAACAGTGAGATCACTTCTTTAAAGAAACAAGTTTGTTGGATGATTAATAATGGAAAGATTAAAGTAATTCTTGCAATGTATAAAAATTTTGCTCCAAGGATATGACATTTATCTTTGTGTAGAATTACATTATTTGTTCTTTTAATGTAGTGCAGTGTTCATGCCAAAATGAACTATTTCATTTATGTAAAAATAATTATTGTATTATGAAATTTATAACTTTTTGTAAGCCCCAGGTGAGGGTGGGTGCAGTATACTACCCTGATCTTTTGATGTAATAGTTTTATGGTTAATGAAGTATTTCAGTTTCAATTTCTGTGCATTACACCACCCACATCCTCTAAGTCAAGCTACATTTCTGTAGTTTCTCGTATGTGGATAATAATAGTCATAATTAACACAAATTTCATAAATTATTAAGCAAATTAAGGTTCATTACATAGATCAACGACTTCGTTAACTGCAGAGGATCGAGGGTTTGAGGGTTCGGTGATTCGGAGTCATTTGTAAATTCAGGGTTCATTTGAGTTTCATTTTATAATTAATTTTGCGCATTTGGAAATTAATATTAAGCTGCTCTGAGAACCCGGAATTGTCTGGGTTTGAAGTTACATACCGAAGATAGATAGATAGATATAATAAAGGTACTCAAACTATCCAGCCAGGAGCGAACTCGTAGCAATGGTTTAAAATTAGACAAATTTAGATTTAGGCGTGAGATAGGTAAACACTGGTTTAGAAATAGAGTAGTGGATGAGTGGAACAAGTTACCGAACACGCTGGGTAGCTTCAAATATAGGTTGGACGGATATATGAGCGATAGGGGTTGGTTGTAAACGGGACTGCCCAGTATGGGCCAAAAGGCCCGCTGCAATTTCCTCCATTCTTATTTTCTTATGTTCTTATATATGCAGTAGATATTAAGTAAAGTCGCCGTACAAGTTTACATTGATTCAGCATGCAAAGTATATAAACAATAACTGTGTGTTAAAATATACAAAGTAGTAGTGGAGTCGCCATATACTTGTAGAGGAAAAAATGCTAACCTAGCCTAACCTAACCTAGCCTAACCTAACCTAGCCTAACGTAACGTAACGTAACGTAACCTATCCCTTTCATCCACCCGGATAACGTTATAGGGTGTTCCCTCACGGGGTGGACGTGTGTGTATGATCCGTGCTTTCATCGGTGGATAAACGTATACCTGCATAATCTATACACATGCTGAACTGCATGCCTGCAAAGTCTATATCCACACCAAACCTATAAGATGCTTTTACAGAATTTATTATTATTTATTATTATTTTTATTATTATTATGATTATTATTATTATTATTATTATTATTATTAATATTATTATTAATATAGTCTAACCGCCCATATCTTATCTGCCGCTTGACTTTTGGTCCAAATATTTAACACACACACACACACACATACACACAAGCACTTAAGTTGAATCAAACATAAAGTGAAAGTTTGTTGTAACTCACACATAACTACTGCTCTCTGCGTGAGCCTTGGCGTACTACACAAGAGTTTTATCTAAAAAAAGGATGTTTGTACCAAATTATTATCACGCATATTATAATCGTCCTCAATTTTCACAGGTCATGTACCCAAAGCATTTCGTCTGGTCACTAAATGGTCACATTCTCTAATCCTGATATTTAACTTTAGCATATTTGTGGTTATTATTAACGCCGTGATAGAAACAGTTATATTGTGCAAAAAGACCTTAAATTCATAAGTTTGCATAATTAGGTTGTATGTGGGGGGAGGATGAGGGTGTGTTTAGGGGGAATGGGGGTATTTGGATTTGAAGATCATGCGCGCGCAGGGAGTTGGAGGGTTGGTGGGTACTCGAGGTGTGTGGCTCTGTGACACTTGTGTCCTCACTCACTTACTCCGTCCTGCCCTTACTGGAGGCCCGACTTCCCTCACCACTGTCACCACCCACGACCAAGCCCAGCAGTGGCATCCTAGAGCAACACATTATCATCCTCATCACTACATCAAGTCCCACAGAGTTGATCAGTCTGTCTGTTTGTCGGTTCCCTTTTGTCACTATCTAGAGGCGCGACCGAGTCTTCTTATATCCGGGGTAACGTCCGTCTGTGAGGAGCTATGGCTGACTTCGTGCAAAACCTGGTAAGGTGGAGAGACGTGTTGGCATTACGGTCCAGGCAATAACTTGACTGTACATAATGAAACTTTGTTTATATACTCGCTCTACACACATAGGTTATAGTACTGTATGTGTGGACCTTGATAATCAGATCATTTATGGCTCCTTCACCTCGGAGAGGTGTACACTTGAGTGAATGTAGATGAAAAAATACTATAGTTTAAGATTATAATATTTATCAAGGGCATGTGAAAACGTGTTTAAGACACAGCCTCACTGACCATACCCGACGCTCACTACAGATGTTAGTTTCCCCATCCTCACCTGTCATCATCTCGGTAGTCAAACGTTGACTTTGATGTACCGTGAGCCGCCCGCCTCACTATGGGTTTAACAAGTGGCCAGTCACCTGTAGCTAATACAGAGCTGTCCGGTATCCTGCTTAATCAGTTACCTTTGTTGTCTGTGACTAAAAAAAAAGTATGTGTTTGATCAGCGAATTGTAGGTTGAGTAAAATATTCAGGACAGAAAAATCCTGAGAAGTCCCGATTTTAGTGAGTTCGATATTCTGTAATTTAGCTGAAGTCAAACAATTAGAAGATCCTGGATCGGGTTTTGTACACTCATGGTCACTCTTCATTACATGTGTACTACGAGGCTGTTACCTGGCGTACAGTCACTAGATATATATTATGTCGAAGGAGATAACTGCATGAGTCACCCTTAAAGAGGAGTTGTATTTAAACAGAGTCAGTCGAATCAATATCGAATCATTTATTTTCACTTAACCAGAGTTTTAGAAAGTACCGGACTTTCTTACTTAAGTAAAAGTATTGTTACACTGGCAAAATGTTACTTGGATACAAGTAAAAGTATTCGAAGTTCAATGTACTCAAGTAGAAGTAAAAAAGATTCCCATTCCAAAAGTAATCAAGTACTGAAAGTAAAAACTAACAAAATAATTAATCGTCTCAAATATTAAAATAAATCAACAGTAAATTAAAAAAAAAGTTAACTAAAGATAATAATATAAGACATAGCATTACACATGTTTATTTGCAAATCTTTCTATTGAGATTAATCAATAACTGATTCTCAAAATTATGGCTGTCCAATCAGGATCTTTTAGGCCTAACTATAAGCCCTGCATGACTAAACAGACGCTCACAAGACAGAAGATGTAGGTAGTGGGATGTTAAGCTTGAGAGATAAGTCACATGATGTCGCGAAAGACCTCAGTAGTTCCATTCCATCCCCTGGGCATACCAAGTAGCTATCAAGCTCCATCAGTTGAGGAGTTTGTGGATGATTGTTGCCTCCGTAACACTGAACAAGAAAAGGGCGGCTTGGGCGCTTAAACTCCGTGTTCGTCGGTTGGATACACAGATGAAACGATATGAAAACGCATGTGATTGGTCCAGACGTGAAGAAACGCTTGTAGTTGGTAAACTTCTATTGTTTTGGGGCATGTAACGATATCAATTTCTCTTTTTTCAGTTGTATTGGAGTAAAAGTAATAGAAGAAAATACTTAAGTAAAAATACTGAAAATCATGAGTACCTTTAAAAAAGTAAATTCCCACATATGATACTTGAGTAGAGTACTCAAGTAAATTTATTTAGCTACTTTACAACTCTGCACTTAACTAATGACTTGGTAAAGAATAGAGAATGTTAAACGTGAAGTCTTATATACTTTACTTACAAATTAAACACATATTAAGGTAGAGGCTCGTGTAGTATTTAGTATTTACTGACAGGTTTCTAAATGGCCGCCTTTGAAGGTCCAACATTACCATGAAGAGCTCTGAGAAGGTCTGTATGGCGTGTCAATTTTATTTCATGATTTATGATCTTCATTAGTTTGTTATCTTCTACCATTTGACCGATCATGTTTACTTGACATTTCAAAGAATATATTATGTAAGTCACCCCACTCCCGTCAGTAAGTCACCCCACTCCCGTCAGTAAGTCATCCCACTCCCGTCAGTAAGTCATCCCACTCCCGTCAGTAAGTCACCCCACTCCCGTCAGTAAGTCACCCCACTCCCGTCAGTAAGTCACCCCACTCCCGTCAGTAAGTCATCCCACTCCCGTCAGTCATCCCACTCCCGTCAGTAAGTCATCCCACTCCCGTCAGTAAGTCATCCCACTCCCGTCAGTAAGTTATCCATTCCCGTCAGTAAGTTATCCCACTCCCGTCAGTAAGTTATCCCACTCCCGTCAGTAAGTCATCCCACTCCCGTCAGTAAGTCATCCCACTCCCGTCAGTAAGTCATCCCACTCCCGTCAGTGTAATAATAATAATAATAACAATTAACGGTTTATTGAAAGAGCTTGGCAGCCAGAAGGCTGAAAATATACAGTTACATATTTGGGGAATGGGTTTCGAATTACAAATAATATACAAGTAACATAAGTGATACAAATAAGATATTTAATAACTAGATGGGGAAAAGCTCAAACTACAGTGCATTTCAGCATAGTGACAGTGCAAGAAGCAGTATTTACTGGGAGTGAATACACTGGCTTATTACAAGTTATTGATAATTTTTACAATGGTTGGGACTGGGCTGTTCTTATAGCGATCAGTTCGTGCACATATGGGCTGGATGCGGTTGTGGTGTCGAACAGCAATTCTCGGGCTAGGGATCTCAGGTGGTAGTAGGAGCCGGTGTCGAGAATGGTGTAGAAGCTTCTTACCAAATTTGCAGATGAGGTCGTGTGTGTGTGTGTGTGTGTGTGTGTGTGTGTGTGTGTGTGTGTGTGTGTGTGTGTAATAATAATAATTAACGGTTTATTGAAAGAGCATGGCAGCCGGAAGGCTGAAAATATACAGTTACATAATTGGGGAATGGGTCTCTTGATTTACAAATAATATACAAGTAAGGTAAGTGATACAAATATGATATATAATAACAAGGTGGGAAGAAGCTGTGTGTGTGTGTATGTGCGTGGGGGGGTGGGTAAATCAAACAATAGTGTATAATATCATAGACTAAACCACTTTTAACGTCACAGGAAAAGACAAATCCAGTAGAGTTACCCCCGCCCTCCCCCGGGTCCTTGGTGGGGTTAAGACCTCTCGTTGACTACTTCACCAGTGGGGATGCGGGCAGCTGGATCCACCAACCCAGCCTTCTGTTTACTTGTTGCTTAACTCATTCATTGGTCTCCTGTGTACCTGCACGGAGAGGAGAGCTATTATCTTCTCCTTCGTTTATCACTAAGTTATCGCCTTAGATATTTCATGAACGATCTACCTCCAGGATAGATGTATCGCACAGTAGCTTTTAAAAACTTAAGGAAATCATCCTATAGGATGGTCGTCAAACGTGGGTGTCAGTGTTGCCAACTCCCCACAAAACAGGTCGGGCCATAGTATTTATTAGCGGGTGCAGAGTTGTGCCCACCCGGACGTGTGAGGACCTTGCCAGCTGGGCCGGATCCTCTCCAGGCCACAAGTACCTTTCATTCATCCACATCTACCGACCTCCTCTTACTACTGCCCCCGTTAATTTTCCTCTCAAGTCCTTAAGGTCGCGTCAACTTCCTTGCAAGCCTGTCCAATCACCCGGGCAAAGGAAGAGGCATCGAATCTAACTTAACCTAATCTAACCTAACCTAACCTAACAGTGGGATTTTATGGGATTAATTGAAGATTAGATACTCCAGTTTATTTTACCTGAAGATTAAACACCCTAACTTTACCGGCAGGGGGTAAGGTTAGGTTAATGTTAGGTTAGCGTTAGGTTAGGTTCGGTTATGTTATCTTCTTTGGTTTGGTTCGGATAGGTTAGGTTAGGTTAGGTTAGGATAGGGTACTTAACCATCAATCCAAATAAGCTGGGGAGTCGAATCTTCAGGTGATCCATAAAATGAAGAAATCCAAACCCAAGGTTGAAAAATATCCCAGTGGTGAGTGAACGTTGGCGAGAGAAAAAAAAAACACCAATGTTCTCAAGACAAGAGGATGAATGCTTTACTGTCGAGTGGAATTAATGTTTTTCTGAATGATTTTTCAACATTGGATTAAAATGTTTACATAAATTGTACTGGAATTGAGTAAAGCTCCTCAGGTAGAGTCTCGAGTTTAATAGTGGAATGTAAGAAGAAGTAGTAGTAGTAGTAGAAGCAGTAATAGTAATAATAGCAGTAGTAATAATAATAATAATAATAATAATAATAATAATAATAATAATAATAATAATAATAATAATAATACTGTCTGTTTAAACTTGTCTTTTTGGTTTAAATTTATACGCAAACTCTTTCCTGATTACAGTTTTTAGGTCAGGTTATGTTTGGCAGATCTAAAATTTCTCTCAAACAGTATCTTTGTTAGACGGGAGTTTAGCGAAGGCAATCAACTGTTATGTTCACTGAGGCTTAGAGAAGTAGATACCTTCACCAACGCGACTTCAGGTGATTCATACAATTTTCGGGTTTTTATAATATATGTAGTGTATATCTATCGACCTTTACTTAACGTCTAATGCTAATTTACACCATAAAATTTCTCCATAGATATAAATGAAAAAAAAAATGTTTAGCATTTATTTACCAAGACAGCCCTCTCCTTACCCGACATTAGGCACGCCCCACAATACCTCGCGCGCGTCAGGTTACCAAAACAAAAACACACAGTCCTTCCCAACTTTTAACCATAGCCCTTCAGTCCTTAAATCATTACCTTTGTTCTCTTACAAACAACAAAAACAAAGGCAGAATAACCATGTAATTAACACTATGCATGTGATTAGAAGCAAGCAAGCAAGCAAACAAGCACCTCGGAATTTGCATTTTGCGTACGGTGAGGCTCAAACACTGAGGAGTTGGACACACTGCTAGTACAGGAAACGCTTCATTCACCACCATCAGAGCGTAAATCAACAATGATAGAGTATGGCTCCCGCGTAGTGGTGAGGAACTACCACTCTTTATTTTTACTACAGACGTCCACTGTCTAGACTCTAGAGTTTGAGAGATCCCTTCAGTGTTTCTTTGTTGTTGTGTGTGTGTG